CAGCATTCAGCATGCTCACATTGTTACCTATTGTGGGGCGCTCACACGCGACGGCGGGGCGCACGTGTCCGGGTGACAGCCGCTGCCTGCACCCGACGGTCGCCGTCGGATCCCCGTCTCAAGTTTAGGTCAGAGCGCGGGGTGACGAGGTCCAGCGGCGCCACGTGCCTTCCGGCTGGCGACCACGGCCTGTCAGTCAGATGCCGATGCCAAGGGCACAGGGGCCATCAGGATCTGGCGCCCGAGCGGCCGACGGTCTGGGGAGGACCTGTGTTGGAGAGATGCAACTCGGTGGCGGGACAGGCGGACAGCTTCGAAACAATAAGACCGTGGCTGCCGACAGGCAACGGTGCAGTTTTTACATCCCTGGACTGGCGGTCACCGGGCTCCGAGCATTTTTAGTAAAGCTGCGAAACACGTGCTCCGAGACCGAGCTCTTTGCACCCTCGCTTATATGGGGGTCATGCACGGTCCGAAGAGGACACCGCCAATGCTCGTCCGTGCTCGACGCGACGACACCTCTGACGACACTGTCAATGCCCACGCCTTTGTGATCCGGCTCAAACTGTGTGCGAAAGGCTAAGCTTGCGAGCCGTGGAAAGCGCGGTTACAGCCCACGTCCGGTGAACGGCAGGGAGACCAGAAGATAAACAACCGAGATCAGCAAGATGATGTAAGGACGCATCTGGAGTTCGATGTAGCAAACACACTCGTGTGGAGGCCACACGAGTACACCTAGAGTGGCCTGGGCTGCCTCTGGTTTGCACACGATATGCACCCGAGCAGTGACGCAGGCAGCGGGGCACAGGGGACACGTGCCTCCCCCTTAGGACTCGAGGTGCCCCTCGGGCCCGTGAGGACCGACAGCTGTGGGCTCGAAGCGCTGTCCGGGAGTCGCAATACGGGGCCTCGACCCGCATAGCTGAACCTTAAAATGCTGGCCTCTTTGTCGGCCACACACCGCCAGTATCAAACAGTTGGCTCCGTGTCGGTGTGGGCCTGAGGGCCACTTCCTGAGCATGGAGAGGTGCTGTAAAGGCTAAACCGTTCCATTATTAATCTAAAAATCGCACTGGTCAAATGTGCGCTCGGACTGACTTCTGGGCGTACGAATTGGTGTCTTTAAGCGTCCAAAGGTACTTCTTTCAGGTACTTCGTCATTTTCTTCCCCTGTTCGCCGTCACCAAATGCTGGCCGCAAGATGAGCACTACGCGGCCTACGGAGACTGCAACGCCGGTCGCCGGGCTTTTGTTTGAAGACTTCCGTGCGCACATGTTCAAAACTATGCCAAGTAATTTTTCACTATTCGGTTCTGGACCAAGGCTGGACATTGCCAGACAGACATGGGTTCGCCACGTTGACACAAATTTTTGGCGCCGTTTCGATCTGCAATCCACGCTCACAGTGTCTAATATTTCTGAAGAACACTAGCGCCGGCGGTTCATTTCTTGCAGTCTTTAACACCTGGTTGCTTCAGTTGATTAAATTCAAAATACATACTCAATTGGTTAAAAAACATACTGAATCTTCCGGTGGTTTCCTGCTTCTGTTCTAGCTAAGGAAAACAAACAAATGAAATAAAGACTCATCCCCCGAAATGACAGGAACCATATTTGCTCTTTTTTTCTTGGAGAGGCTTCCACCACCAGGAGTCTATTTGTGAGTCCTGTGTCCCTTCCCAGTTGCCAAAGCTCTGGCTGCGCCCCTGCATCCGAGTGCCCGGCCCTTGAAAGCTCAGGCCAGCATGTACTCTGTGCTCTGCTACTCCGTTCACAGACCAGTGGGGCGGCCGGCTGGGCTGTCCGGTGGAGGGTGGGCCTCGGGTGACCCATCCAGTGCAGAGTGAGCCTCAGGTGGTCCGTCCAGTGGAGGGTGGGCCTCAGGTCACCCATCCAGTGGGGCGTGGGCCTCAGGTGGCCCTTCCAGTGCAGGGTGGGCCTCGGGTGACCCATCCAGTGGAGGGTGGGCCTCAGGTGGCCCGTCCTTTGGAGGATGAGCCTCAGGTGACCCATCCAGTGGAGGGTGAGCCTCAGGTGACCCATCCAGTGGAGGTTGGGCCTCAGGTGGCCCGTCCATTGGAGGTTGGGCCTCAGGTGACCCGTCCAGTGGAGGGTGAGCCTCAGGTGACCCATCCAGTGGAGGTTGGGCCTCAGGTGACCCATCCAGCGGAGGGTGAGCCTCAGGTGACCCATCCAGTGGAGGTTGGGCCTCAGGTGACCCATCCAGTGGAGGTTGGGCCTCAGGTGACCCATCCAGTGGAGGTTGGGCCTCAGGTGACCCATCCAGTGGAGGTTGGGCCTCAGGTGACCCATCCAGTGGAGGGTGAGCCTCAGGTGACCCATCCAGTGGATGATGGGCCTCAGTTGGTCCGTCCAGTGGAGTTTGGACCTCAGGTGACCCATCCGGTGGAGGGTGGGCTTCAGGTGACCTGGCCGTTCCTCGCCGGCAGGCGTGTCGGATGACCAGTTCACGGCCATCCCGGTCCAGGGGAGCGGCACGTACGCGATCGAAGCGGTCCTGCAGACGGTGTCACCCCGCGAGGGAGCGAAGGTCAGACGGTGTTACACCGCCAGAGGGTCAAGGTCAGACGGTGTCACCCTTCCATGGGGGCAAGGTCAGACGTCACCCCATAAAATCCCAGGTCAAGGTCAGAATGTGTGATCCCGCCTGGAGGTCGCAGTCAGACGGCGGCGGCACCGCCCGCGGGCCGGACAGGCTCATGATCTCAGCAAGCGCACCGGCAGAACGCCTGAGGCAAAACTGTCCAGTGCTGAGCATCATTTATTTGTTTCGAGTGATGGTCAAGGTCAACAATCAAGGTCAAGACAAATGCCATTGATGCTTTTATTATGGTAGCGTTTGTCCGCAGTGTTGCGGTCGAAGACTTCAGCAAACGCACCAATTTATGCAGTGTTCGGGTTGGTTGGGTTTGAAAAACTCCCGTGTGAAATCAAGATTTTCCGGTGGGTGTTCAAACGCTCTCTGGTGGGCATTAAATCACACCCTCGCTTGCATCAGCTGGAAAACCAGTGCCGGCAGCAATACCGCGTGATCTATAACAGACCGCGCATAACGGCGGCGTTGCACTGTAGCGGGGCGCGGGTCCGGTCGGGTTCACCCTCCCGTCCGCGGGGGCCAGTGGGCGTCACCCTCCGTTCCGCGGGGGTCAGTCGGCGTCACCCTCCGTTCCGTGGGGGTCAGTCGGCGTCACTCTCCCGTCCGCGGGGGTCAGTCGGCGTTACCCTCCCGTCGCGGGGGTCGGTCGGGGTCACCTTCCCGTCCGCGGGGGTCAGACGGCGTCACCCTCCCGTCCGCGGGGGTCAGTCGGCGTCACCCTCCCGTCCGCGGGGGTCGGTCGGCGTCACCCTCGCGTCCGCGGGGGTCAGTCGGCGTCACCCTCCCGTCCGCGGGGGTCAGTCGGCGTCACCCTCCCGTCCGCAGGGGTCAGCCGGCGTCACCCTCCCGTCCGCGGGAGTCAGTCGGCGTCACCCTCCCGTCCGCGGGGGTCAGTCGGCGTCACCCTCCCGTCCGCGGGGGTCAGTCGGCGTCACGCTCCCGTCCGCGGGGGTCAGTCGGCGTCACCCTCCCGTCCGCAGATGCTGGTCCTCTGCAACGGCGCCTACGGCCGGCGTATGGAGCAGATCTGCCGCACGGCTGGCATTGCGTGCGAGACGTTCAACCAGTCGGAGGAGCAGGCGCTGTCACCGGCCGCAGCTGCGCCGCTGCTCGCCGCCGGCCCGCTCTCCGCTGTTGCTATGGTACACTGCGAGACCAGCAGCGGCGTGCTCAACCCTGTGGCTGAGCTGGGGCGACTGGTGCGCCAGCTGCAGCCCGGCGCCGCGTTCATCGTTGACTCGATGAGCGCGTTCGGGGCGGTGCCGCTGGACCTGGAGGCGGCCGGCGTCGACTACCTGGTCAGCTCGGCCAACAAGTGCATCGAGGGCGTGCCCGGCTTCGGATTCGTCATCGCTCGGCTCGAGCGTCTGAAGCAAACCAAAGGTTGGTTTGACAATCCCGGCAGATGTTGTGTTAAGTGCTTTATTCCGCATAATTCTATTTGCGTTCTTACGCTGCGTCTGACGGTCTTCCCTATTGTTTAACGCCACAACTGAGCGCATTCCCCGCTTTCTCACGTCACGTTTGACCTCTGTCCCATTACCTCGCGCTACGTCTGACCGTCTTCCCTGTTATCTCGCGCTGTGTCTGACTGTCTTTTCTACTGTTTCACGTCACGTTTGACCATCTTGTGTTGCGCTACGTTTGGCCGTCTTCCCTGTTGCCTCGCGTCACGGTTGACCTCTGCCGTCTGCCCCGTTGTCTCACGACACGTCTAACTGTTTTCGTTGTTGTCTCACACCACTCTGACCGTCTTCTCTACTGCCTAAAGTCGCGTTTGGGCGTCTTTCGCGTTGTCTCACGCCGAGTCTGACCGTGGCCGCAGGTAACAGCCGCAGCCTCAGCCTGGACCTGTTCGATCAGTGGGCAGGGCTGGAGCGCAGCGGCCAGTTCCGGTTCACGCCGCCCACGCACGCCCTGCTGGCGTTCGACTGCGCGCTGCAGGGGCTGCTGAGCGCCGGCGGCGTGGCCGCGCAGGCGTCCCGCTACCGCGCCAACAACGTCATCGTGAAGCGCGGCCTGCGCCGGCTGGGCTTCCGGCCGCTGGTGCGCGACGGCGACGACTGCTACATCATAACGTCGTTCCTGTGTCCCACGCACGCAAACTTCTCGTTCACGGAACTGTACCGCCGGCTGTCGGCGCTGGACCAGGTCATCTACCCGGGCAAGGTGACCGACGCAGACTGCTTCCGGATCGGGAACATCGGCGACCTGCACGAGCCGGATATGCACCGGCTGGTGGACTGCGTGGAGACCGTGCTGCGTGACATGCAGGTACCGATCCCGGTCACCTACGGCGACCCGCAGTGAGACCGGCTCTCCAGCACCGCCGTCGTAGGCAGCGTGCCGCACGGAATCCGACCGAGACGTAACACGGCAGAGCGGCGATTAGTGGCGCTTGTATTCCGATAAAGTGGTCGGTGGTGATTGCTGGGGCGCACACGGAGAGCCCGGTACCACGCACCGAGGGTCCGTAAGCAAATTAATTGCACGCGTGTGTACATCCGGCGGCTGGTTTCAGTGTTGAGCAAATGTTAATACAACTGGTGAACATCAGACGTCCCGACGTCTTCGTGTCACTATTACACCATTCATTTGTTCTGTGCCACACGTCAGTAATCAGCACCGGTGGCTGGTACGAGTCCAGAAAAAAATACTAAATGCGTTCAGAGACCTCTCGGCGCCTCGACCGTTAGCACCACAACCAACGCTGTGGCTATAAAAAGATAGCCACAAGAACCGCGAAGACGAGAAGTCTCGAGATTACGTCGACGGCGCTCGCGAGACAGCATTCGCCGCACACGAGGACTTCCAAGCGCACAGCGCCCGCGTCTGGAGCCACTCGGAGCCTGGGCGGCCTCTCCCCACCGACGCCGTCACAGGGACAGCTGGAAGCCAGATCTCGACGAGAACAGAGCGGCTGGCGCTGGCGCCGCCGCCCACATCACAGACTACTCTCACATCGAACAGCCAAACACACGGGCAAACGGACACCGCACTACCTGGGAATCGCATAGCAGGTGGCCGCGGCGGCCTTGGGTGGGGTGTAACTAGCAACCTAAGCCTGGCCGAGGGGGCGGGGGTCTGCCTCCTGTGAGGTGGGCGTAATGTTATACATCAATGGCATAGTTTTACCTCTGGAGCACAATTTCACACATCTGGGGCGTAATGATACGTTGCGACCTCAGAAACACTGGCGTTCCACAGCAACTAATGCACCAGAACACCAAAGTAACGGATGCTCTATCCACGGCATGAAGTGCCCACCATTAGAGAAAACTAGCGTTAGGCAGGTAAGTTCACTGAGTAATGCTTTGACATTGTAAATCTCTAACGCTGACAATGTTCCCCTGCGACAGGGAGGTCAACTATTCATTCGCGTCATGTACGAAACCACGCGTTCAAGAAAATTGCTTGTTTTAGAGCTTCGCACCAAAAAATAATATAACAAAATAAAACCAAGTTTTGCTGTCAAAGGAAAATGGCACACAGCACTAACAACGGGACCTACGGACAGGGCAAAAAGACGCGATCCATGGGCCATGCCTTCTGACTTAGGTGTAGTTTTACACGAACGCCAGCGCACTCATGGATCGGCGCAAGGACCCATCCTCGCCGCCTTCCACCTCCACATACACACACACGGACACACACACCATTTTTAAAACAACATCGTGTCTAAGGATGTTAACGCGGCTACACCCGGGACCGGGGTGGGGCGGCTCGCCGCCGGCTTGTAGCGGCCTCACCAAACCCCCGCGAACGACAATCGAGACTAGGCCTCCACTAGCGTTCATAGCCCAACAGTGCCTCGGCCACGCCGAAGTAGTAGACCATCTGGGCGATGCCGAACAGCGGCGCTATGACGATCATACGACAGGCGCCGCCCTTGAAGAAGGCCCGCACGCCCTCCTGCTTCATGATCTTGCTGGAAACGGAGGGGAAGACCGTGAGCACAGAGGTCATACTTCACCCCAGATCGAAGCGCCTGTTGTGCGACAATCCACCGGCAGCTCAACCATGGGCGACATACGGCAGTCAGACTGAATACAAAGGGCGGCAGTAAAAACTGTCACAAGTATCCACTTAAATGACGGGCTGTTCTCATCGCACACGAGATCTCCCTGCTTGCAATCCAAGCACTGCCACGCTTCAAATGCGTCCAATGACTTCAAGCGCCACGACAGCCTCAGCCCAACTATTCTCATGTCATCCTATCGCACAACGCAACCTTGACAAACACGGACAAAACGTCTACAGCCGCCACGAAAGACGGTCACCACGCGTTGGAGAGCCTGCGAGCGAGGCTGTACCCAAATACTTGCAATTATAGATCGACATAGCCACGGCGGGGAAGCATGCTGCATTTTGCAGAGCTAAGACAATGAAAACACATTTTATTTAGGCAGCGGGTCTGGAGGGCACCAAGACTGTGCCCAAATACTTGCAACGATAGATCCATAAAGCGCTGGCGGGGAAGCACGTAGCATTTTGCAGAGTTAAGACAATGAAAACGCGGCAATTATTTAGATAGCGGTCCGGGGGGGGGGGGGGGAGGAAGGGCACCACTCACACGAAAGCATCGGCGATGCCCGAGTACACGGCGTCGCCCTGGCCCTTGTTGATGACCTGCAGCCGGGTCTTCACCACATCGAACGGGTTGACGGCCAGCGCCGACAGCGAACCGGCGGCGCAGCCGGACAGGAATGAACACCAGAACACCGCCTCGCCTGGCGGCACAGGTCGCGTCAGCGCTACAGCGCCGCCTAATCCTACCTACCTACCTAAAATCCTACCTTGCGTGGCGGCACAGAGCACACAGGTACCGCAGCTTGGCGATACAAGCCGCCGATTACCACACCATCTGGCCAGCCAGCACAGGGCCCGTGTGCGCGACACAGCCTCGCACACAGTCCTGGCGGCGCAGGCCTTGTCAACGCCGAAACACAGTGTCGCCCGACGGCACCGACTATGTGATCACCAGACCACCGTCTGACCAGGCAGTAGACGCCCTGCGAGCATCCTGCTCCTGCACCGCCCCCTGCCCAGAAACAACCGACGACGAGAAGAGAAGCAGAAATGACAGAGCCCACACACGTGAGCTATTGTGCCCCGCAACCCCAGCTGCTGGCATCTTGTCGAAACGGATCGCTCTGGCATGCAACGACCAGAAAGAAGCACGTTACAGTGGGGAAACACTATATCGGGACTCCCGTCAGAGCCACGAGGGCAAACGACAACATACCTGTTGCATTGAACAAACACTTCTTGGAAAGCAGAGACATTGATCATAAACGCACGCGACCCATTCCTCGACAAAGCCACCGGCGGGCGGGCCGACGCTATACCTCGCGCTTCAGGCTTCGAAGATATTACCTCCATCAAGCTGGATTATGCCCGGATCGTACCGTCTTATTTTAAGAAAAACCGAGGTAATGCAGTGGTCGGCGACCGGCCTATAGCGTTCTTGGCGTTTCGGAGACAACCAAGCAAGGGTGGCTCTGGTGGCCTGCATCTCAAAGGTAAACCAGAACAGCAAATTAGACATTGCTGAACTCGCAAAAAGCCTGTGTATCTCTTGACTCAATCATATATGTTTTCACGTTTATTGCTTAATCCCTTCGCGAGCTTGTCACGCAATGTACTTCCACCTTCGGGGCACACAATATGTCATTTTTAAACGACAAATAGGGTGGAAGGCGAGGGTCAAGAAACTGTGTTTTTTTTCGTGCTTGTAGTTTACATTTGAAGTTCGGAGTCCAAGGCCAATTGTGAGCCGATGTGACATACCATTAAGTTCATGTCGTTCAACCCGCAAGACAATGGACTGAGTTGCGCACACCTGAACATCTTTTAACTTGCAAAGATCCCTTGCGTCAAATTCATTCTGTCAGTAAATTAAGCTGTGTGAGCGTTCATTAAAACAGGCCCGGTAAATCTAGGTCCAGACGTGTTGTTGGCTCTCTGGTGTAATCACAGTAGCCTTTACCAACGAATATTCAAAATAAACATTGGTAATCAGCATTTCAGGACGAAGACCATTAAAAAAGATGTGATGACACTACGACATTAAAAACACTATGCTCGCACTCACAACGTGTCTCGGTGTTCGCATCTCGCATGTCGAAGACAAACTGATGTGGTCTTATTTCACCGACAGCGTTGAAGGTGTGTTTACATCCTGCGATGCACGAGTTAAAGACCGCCCGGATCACGACAGCGCTTCAACAACTTGTGAGCTGGACGCCACTGAAGTGGCCTGACGCATCCAGCCAACTCGGCCGCAGCGGACTCAGGTGGGCCGGCCCACTCGGCCGCAGCGGACTTAGGCGGGCCGGCCCACTCGGCCGCAGCGGATTCAGGCGGGCCGGTCCACTCGGCCGCAGCGGACTCAGGCGGGCCGGCCCACTCGGCCACAGCGGATTCAGGCGGGCCGGCCCACTCGGCCGCAGCGGACTCAGGCGGGCCGGCCCACTTGGCCGCAGCGGACTCAGGCGGGCCGGCCCACCCGGCCGCAGCGGACTCGGGCGAGCCCACCGGCCGCAGCGGACTCGGGCGAGCCGGTGTCGTCACCGCAGTTACCTGAGCCGTCACCCTTGCGCGGTCCCAGCGCATTCAGGTGGGCGAACAGCGGGAAGTAGACGCAGCTGAAGGAGACGTCCCTGAGCATGGTGGCGGCCGTGCCCCGATACAGGCCGGTGATACCGCGCGTGCGCAGCAGGTCTAGCGTGATCTGACGCGCCGAGACGCGCGGCGCCGCCTCGCCCTTCCCGGCTGTGGGGCGCGCAGGGCTGTGTCACAAGGGAGAGCGAAAGGGGATCAAGCTATGAGGAGGAGACGGAGAGGGAGGGGAAGGTGAGGGGAGGGAGAGAGGGAGAGGAAAAGGGAGAGAGACAGGGAAAGGGACAGGGAGGGGAGAGGGAGAGAGTGAGGGAGAGGGAGAGGAGGGGAAGAGGGAGAGGGAGAGGAAGAGGGAGAGGGAGAGGGAGAGGGAGAGGGGGAAGGAGAGGAAGGGGGAGGGGGAGAGGGGAGAGGGAGAAGGAGACGGAGAAGGAGACAGAGAAGGAGAGGGAGAAGGAGAGGGAGAGGAAGAGTGAGAGGAAGATGGAGAGGGAGAAAAAAGCCAGAAGAAGAGGGAGATGGAGAGGTACAGGGAGAAGGAGAGGGGAGGGAGAGTGAGAGATCGTGGGAAGGGAGAACGAGAGGGAGATGGAGAGAAAGGAATGAGGGAAGTAGAGAGGCAGGGCAGTTTGGGGGGGGGGGGGGAGTACGCAGGGAGAGCGAAAGCCGTACATAGCTCTGTCAGCCGCTTCTACCGGCTGACTGCAGTGTGAAGGGCATCGCACATGATTATTGGTAGCGGTGCACGAAGACGACACAAAGAGCACCTTGATTGAGGATTCAGACGTTAGGGTGAACTTGGCTGGGTGCCCTTAGTTTGAGTACAGCTAGGCCTGCCACACGTCTAGGGCGCCAACAGTATAAGTTAACAGGGTTCCAGTGACCTACGATATACGAGGGGTGCTACCATGTCACACAATATCAAGCCAGCACATCATTGCCGACCGCGCCCCGGTCCACCCGGCGCACTCACACACAGGCCCCCGCCAGCTGCCCGCCTGTGATCAGCCACTGGTCAGCCCCAATCCCCACTCCGGCGGGTCCCACGAGGCGCTGGCTCCCCGCACTGACCGGCCTTGGCCATGGCGGCGACGCGTCCCGAGTCCTGCAACTGGATCTTCAGCAGCTCCATTGGCGTGGTCACGATGATCTGGCAGAAGCCGGCACTGCCACCGGCCGCCATCTCTCGCAGCAGCGTCAGCTTCCTGCGGCACGCGACAAAGGCTTGATTCACCACAACGCGCGCCATGGGCTCGGTTCACTACAACACACGAAACGGGCTCCGATTCATTACGACAACGCACGACACGGGCTCGGTTCGCTAAGACAGCGCGCAACACGGGCTCGGTTCGCTACGACAGCGCACGCCATGGGCTCGGTTCACTACGATAGCGCACGGCGCCGTGTCGGCAGCCCTGCCTCGGCGACACATTTGTCAGTCATGTGCGGCGGCGTGACGCTCGCGAGGACTGATGCCCGCAGCGATCAGGCCCCGGCTACCGGCTGCGCACAGGTGTGTTGTGACTGGCGCCTGTGTATCGGCGGCCCGTAGGTGACCTGCCGCACGCAGCAGGCTGTCCGTACTGAGCCCCGCTTGTAGCGTATCGGTGGGCTGCCACCGGCTCCGGCTGCTAGCACTGACCCCTGTTTGTTGGCGTATCGGTAGCGGAAGAAGTCGTTGGCCGCCAGCTTAATGGCCTTCTCGGGCGTGATGAGCACGATGTTGACGGCTGAGCCGCGGTACATGCCGAAGTAGCCCTCGGCCCGGTACGTCTTCTTAAAGCAATCGAACCTGGCGACAACACGCAACCGGCAGCTGCACAGACGCCACGCGGCTTCCACTGAAAACCTAAGTCAGCAATCGTACTTTTAATATGCATATAACCATTTATATAGCCACTCAAGTACAGAAAACGGGCCACGGAAAAAGATGGTGAATAATATGTGAACACGCCGTTTAATACGTCATTCTGATACCAATGTACTAATAAGTTACTTGTGCAGATACATATTACATGCTCCAAATTTGTTTCCGATTAAGACGAGCAGCCACGGTCCTGTATTAGCAGCCAGTATATTTCACCGTGTTATATGCGCTGCAGGAAGTAGGGCTTACATTGAGTTGTACATTCGCTCTCCATTTGGGCCAATTTTTTGGTTTTGCAGCCGTGTCTTGACTAAGTCCAACGGGAAGACACAGGTGACACCAATGATGCCAGCAATGCCTCCATTGACTATCTTTGGTACCAACCTGGGAAAATCATTCGTGGTGTGAGGCAACATATCGGGACAGAGCTGGATACGACATAACGAACCCACAACAACAAAACATCAATACAAAAGAGACGCACAGGCAGCACCACCAGCAGTAGTAGCAGACTTCTCCACGAATACTGCTCGCAAGATATGGCCACCTAGCAGTTCAAGCCAGCATTCTGAACAACCAAACAATCTTAATCTGAGGTACTTGTTAAAGCATTTGTGAGGAACGTTTTACATGTAAAATGTCTAAAAATTATGTTGCTGATATTCGTTTCGATAGAGGCATGCAGAAAAACAGCAACACATCGATCTCTTCTTTTTTAGCCTGAGGCAGTCTTAAAAGTGTAGGGCTTCTATGCTGAACAACATCCATAGAAATTGGTCTCCCATCCTGGGATAAAGTGAATATCTGACTGATGTGGCAGAGAACGCACAGGTGACAAGATAAGGATACACACGTATTTAAACTGCTGGTGCGCAGTGATGTCGTCGTCACCGTCATTGGGGCTTTACCATGCACTCGCTACTGAGGCCGTATGGCGTCGCCTGCCTCACCCTGGCAGGAAGAGCGGGCACCACGAGGAATCGAACCCCGGTACCTCTGGCTTCCCGAGCGCACAGTGGTTAACGCAGACGCGTTAACCACCCCACTATCTGCACCCTGCACGAAGCGAGGTACATACAAGCGGTTTTGCCTCGTCCGCTGCGCAAACTACATCAGTATCACCGGTGGGCGCCGCCTTCAACGACACCATAGATCACATATCAGGAGCGTTACATGCATCCCCGTTCCATTTCCAATGTGTCTACTATTCAGAGTCCACCCGGCCCATTAATCGCGTGGCGCTATACAGGCACTCGGGATATAACAAGACTTCACCGTCGCCGGGAATCAGCTGTCTTCAGCAAACGTGGATCAACAACTCATCACTGCCCAACTAATGCAGTATGTTCTCAACAGCTGACTTTGCACAGCTTATTTTTCCAATACTGGCGCTACGAAGGTAAAATGCTGGCAAAATGTGGCAAACGCGAGTGAGTGTGTGCAATTGCTTTGCCCTTTCTGGCACGCTGGCGATGGCTCCGATGGGCGCTGCCGGGCACCTGTCCGAGCGAGATGCGCGCTGCCATCAGGCTGCTATGTTTGTTTGTCAGACAACGTAACTGTTGGCGGAGAACCAGCACGCCGCGCTTCCGGTGAGCACGGCGGCCTGTCAGGGAGCCATTCTTTTCCACACCTTACGATTGTTCTCCTCAAATTGTGCATACATCAGCCAACACGCCCGTGCGCTGGGAGCGCGACTCCAAGCCCCACGGGGTGCGCTGGGGGAGCGTGACTCTGCAGCCCCAGTGCCCGGGCGTGGGGCGGACTCTGCGGCCCACATGCCCGTGCGCTGGGAGCGTGACTCTGCAGCACACGTCCCGTGCGCTGGGAGCGTGACTTCACAGCCCCTCATGCCCGTGCGCTGGGAGCGTGACTTGCGGCCTCCACATGCCCGTGCGCTGGGAGCGTGACTCTGCAGCCCCACGGCCCGTGCGCTGGGAGAGTGTGACTTCCCCCCCACCATGCCAGTGCGCGGTGGGAGCGCGACTCCACAGCCCCAGTTGCGATGCGCTGGGAGCGTGACTCTGCAGCCCCACGTGCCCGTGCGCTGGGAGTGTAACTCTGCAGTCCCACGTGCCCGTGCGCTGGGAGTGCGACTCCACAGCCCCACGGGACTGTGCGCTGGGAGCGTGACTTCACAGCCCCACATGCCCGGGCGCTGGGAGCGCGACTCTGCGGCCCCACGTGCCCGGGCGCTGGGAGCGTGACTCTGCAGCCCCACGTGCCCGTGCGCTGGGAGCGTGACTTCACGGCCCCACATGCCCGTGCGCTGGGAGCGTGACTCTGCGGCCCCACATGCCCGTGCGCTGGGAGCGTGACTCTGCAGCCCCACGCGCCCGTGCGCTGGGAGTGTGACTTCACGGCCCCACATGCCAGTGCGCTGGGAGCGCGACTCCACAGCCCCACGTGCCAGTGCGCTGGGAGTGTGACTCTGCAGTCCCACGTGCCCGGGCGCTGGGAGCATAACTCTGCGGCCCCACGCGCCAGTGCGCTGGGAGCGTGACTCTGCGGCCCCACGTGCCCGTGCGCTGGGGGTGCAACTCCACGGCCCCCACATATCTGACAGTGCCCTGAGAGCGCGACTCCACGGCTCGCACGTACTCGTGGTGGGGTATACTGAAGTCCCCTAATCCTTGCCAGCAATGCACAGCAGCACAGACATCTGCTGAGCGCTCTGGAAGGCTTCATGAAAAGAAGCGACCGGAATTTGTTCAGTTGCTCAGCTAAAACAAGGTATCTGCTATATGTTCGGGGTAGTCGTATCAGACACCAGGCGGCACCATATTGTGATCAGCACTGGTCGGCGTGCGCTCAGTCCCGGCTTCTGACCATTGTGGTCAATCTATGCAGACGCACAGCTCAGCCAAACGCGCAGCGCCCCCTATGTATTAACACCGCCCGGCATTCTGAGCTTCATCTGCGAACGGCAAGGCGTTCGTGTGCAGTTGTGACACCCCCTTTTCTTTTGTTAGCAGTGCCACTGTTGCCGAACGCATAGCTGACGTGGAGTGCAAGGCAGCCTGGCAGGCGCGGTCGGTTGGCCGTGGTGGGCGCAGCGCAGCACCCTCCACGGTCCTGCGTGCTCCACGCGGACCTCGAGCTGCAGGCTCGCCCCCGTTCCGTCGTTTGTCTCGCCCTTGCCGTCGCTCGTGACGAATCTTGCTCAAGGTTTTAACATTGCTGATCTCCGACCCGGACGCTCTGGCGGGGGGTGTTGTTGGGTCGAGTTTTTCGCTTTGAGATTGTGACCTGGCAGATGGTGGCGAGCGCGCTCTGCGGAAACCCGGACCATGGCAGGATGGCTCGAGAAAGACCAAGCCGCGGTGCCAGCAGATTGCTCCGCCGACTTTTGCCGAGCCCAGATCCCACAGCGGATATTTGTTCACATGTTTTGTGTGGGCCATCAGGTTTGGTGTTGTTATTCTGCGTCCCTGCTGTTTGCGCGCAATGAGTTGTCCCGTTAGGTGCTCGATGTAATGATGATGGTAGGTCAGGCTTCATAACAAATATTTCCACTAGTCGAACACATTCCCCACAACACAGCTAAGTGACCAAGATCATCAAAACATTATGAAAGTGCTGTAAACACGCTAAGAGACGAACTGTAATCATAGGCGTTTAGGGGTGTGCGTCCCACGGGCTGCCACGACCATTTAGACGCCACCAGCAGATAAGAAGATCCCTTGACACATCGCCCAAATGACAGGTTTTTCGTTTCCGATACGTACCGCGTTTTTATGCTGGTATTTAACTTTTTTGCTACGCGTTTCCGCCCCATTCGTCCAAGTCGCTCCCTGGCTCAATGCTACCACTGGCTGTATGCATCCATGTAATTATGAATGAAACATCTACCACTGCAATCAAAGACCACCTTCTGTTCTGCAAAATACCTAACACGTGAAGAAATGCCTGCTATTCTTGAATGATTTCAAATTCAAATGACAGACTTTAAAGGAACAGGATGTGTTCACAATTTATGGGATGGGCAAATTCACCATCGCTTCCTCCATACAAGCCCACGTTCCCAGCTCTACCACACAACTGCTGTCATCTTGCATGACTTGGGTTTCTGACTTGCTTCAGCCTCTGGATCTACACCTGTGTTCGAACTAAAACGACTACAACATAAAATGCTGCATGCATCCATCTGCTGTGTTAGCACCATATCAAACGCCCCCAGCAATGGTCCATACTTGTGCACATCTGAACGGATGCCGAGCATCGAATTTGCCCTGCTGTGAATGTCACGGTAACCTAGCGAGCCTCTCACTGATGCCATTAACACACAAAATCTTTACAACATCAGTAATATAATAAGGCATTCAGCTTGCTCCGCATATGCCGGGCCAGGCTAAAACAACTGATAATGACCGGTGTGGCCTGGCTACCCAGGCATGAGAGACAAAAACAACACAGTGCCTAGTTGGCAGCTCACGCAAACTGCCTAGGCTTGATACATTTGTGTTGTCTAGGAACATGGCTGCATCAGAACCACGATGTCAAGCTGAAAACAAAGTCGAAGCTGGCGGCCTCAGGGCTTAAAGCTGCAATGCTGTATAAGTCTGAAGTTAAGGCTTCAGACTTAGGAAACAAGAAGCCAAAGCCAATCTTTTTCATTCAAAATCAGTAGGTCAAAGCCAAAGCTAAATCCAGTGCCTCATGTTTTTTTTTATCCAGCAAGACTATTTATTTTTGCATCCACTTAAGTTGCATGGAATCAGGAAATATGTTACAGGTGTCACAGAGAGATTGAGATCCCAAATTAGCATGATGGATGCAACTTTTCAGGCCACTGTCCTGGTCTAGTGTTAGTATGTGCACAATGCTTCAGATAATAAGTTCTTCAAGATCCCCAGGTGTTGAAGAACCATCCATCAAGTAAAATGATGACACATCACTTACACATGTCCATAATATACATTGTGTATATATGTATATGTGTATGTATGTATGTATGTATATATATATATATATATATATATATATATATATATATATATATATATATATATATATATATATAGATATATATATATATATCACAATAAATATCATGTGTACATTACAAATGGCTAACATTTCTCTGGCCCTCTAACAAAGGGTGCAATAACTTACTTGAAATGCTTAGGAGCTTCACTAGCTTTTCCTGCTGTCATGTTGCTGGATTAGATGGCCAGAGCTTAATAAAAGAAGCAAAAGTCTGAAACAAGCACATTCACATTATGGTGGGTCATCCCGACTTTTCATCATGCCATAACAGAACACCTAACAGCTTTATTGATACAATTCCCAGTTTTGTGAGTGTCTGGTACCCATCATAGGAAATAGTGTCCAGTGGAAATAGCACCTGCTGACTATATCATGCCATAGGCTTAAAGATGCATAAATACATGGAATTCTGCCCAAATAAATTTATTTTGTTTTGTCAAATCATGGCCAATTAACAACTTAAGTGATCCGAAGTCAGAGCCAGTTTGGAATTACTGCTCATCTGGTGGCTTGGAACTATGTCGCACAGATCAGTAATGATGTGGCTTAGTACAGGGGGTGATATTTAGGGGACATTCAATAATAACACAACAGTAATGTTGATATATATATATATATATATATATATATATATATATATATATATATAAACATATATATACATATATATATATATAAGGGGTAGGGTGCAGTTTCACGTAACTGGTAAGGGGAAGGGGAGGGAAATGAACAGCAAAAAATAATTGCCTCCAAAAATACGGGTGGGGCTGATGTCAACTGAAAAAGAATTTCTGGCTGCCAGGCAGGTAAATAGACCAGACAGGTAGGGTGGGAGACCAATGGAAGGCCCCAGGAATGTAAAGGCTACAAACCTGCTTAAAACTGCTTAAAAGGCATGGTCCATAGTACCCAATATCATCAATGATGTTCTGACCACGGGCTCAAGCCCCACTTCCCATGTTTCAGCGTGAATGGCGTAAGCATCGCACTTGGTAAAGCGGCCTAGACAAACTGGATCTAGTACGCAAGCCATGCGACACGACCATCATTAAAAGTGGCACATTTATAAATGACTCAGATAACGTCAGACCTATATGCCCTATAATGGCAATTAATACCGCTTCTCCCCTTACCACGCCCCCATCAACCCTTCACCCGACGCAAAAATTTACGATGCGTTTGACAGCTAACTATGCGAGGATAGTGGGGTCGGGAGTTCGACAGATGACGTCACAAAACCACTGCCCGTCTGGTGATATGTCGTGTCAGGATGCACTCAAAGCGCACCCAAAATGTTGTATTCCATGAGACGTCACGTAGAATGCCTGAACAACGTGCTTGCATTGCGGCTTCTCTCTTTTTATATCTTCGCATCTGTCGTGACAATAATTGCGCGTGCAACGAATTCATGTTTTTGTTTGCAGATACTAGGAAAGCTCTCACGAATGTGAACTGTAAATTACGTTTTTGGAACGTATACACCCCTTTTTATCACTCATGGTCGGTCCTGCAAACACAAATTGGCCTGTTTTAAATTAAGTCTGTTGCACCATTTCTGTCCCACGCCAATCGAGTCGAGAAAAAAGATTCTGCGCGTCCGGGAAAAATTGTACTTGATGTCATGTAAAAGTTTTGTCGTCCGGATCGCTGGGGACGCCAAACTGCGCAGAATCTATGAAGTAAGGCGTCATAAGTGACGTCGTCAGCACATAATCTTTGTTCTCTTGGTCACTGTGAACACACCCTAAGTCCGGCACCCTATAATGGCGTTTGGGCGTTTTCTGGGCGTTTTCCGCCACGCACGTCGCTCCTAGCAAGCGGAAGGTGACCGAAAGGCATCAAGCGGGACAGAACAGGGGCACACAGAACCAGATGGGACGTCATGAAGCAAGACGGGACGGGACAGTGGGGCCACTCAAATCCAAGTCACACGGATCCGTGCGTGACCAGAACAGACGGGCCGGACGTAACCGGAAGAATTTTATGGGATCAGATGGGATCAGACGGAGTCCAACAAGACCAGATGGGATCAGATGGGATCAGACGTTAATGGATGGCATCAAATGAAATCGGGCGGCACCGGCGTGACCGAATGGAGCCGGGCACTACGGAAAAGGAACCAGACGGAACAGGATGGAGCGTGATCAGGCCGAACGGGAACGGGTGCAACCATATTGAACTAGACGGGACTGGACAGTGCCGAATGGAACTTGACGAGATCTGATGGCATCGCATGGAACCGGACGACACCTGGGACCGGGCATGATTGGACGGTGCTCGATGGGGTCAGGTAGGACCTTGCTTGATGGAGCGATATCGGACGGAAAGAGACGTGGCAATTATACAAAAAGCAAGACAGGACAGGACGGGACAGAACGACACCAAGCGGGACCAGAACGGGGCCAGTCCAGGACAAATCAGGCTCGTCTGGACCCTTCCCATGCTGTATGGTCCCAATTGACCTCATCTGGTTCCATCCGGTCTCGTCAAGTATCGCCCAGTCCCGCCCGGTACCTGTTGTGGTTCGCTTTGTTCCGTTGGGTCCTGTTCAGCCCTGTCCAGCCCTTTCTAGTCTCGTCCATTCTCATCCAGACCCGTCCGACTACGTTCGGTCCCGTTCCAGTTCGCAAGGTCTCGTGCGGCGCTGTCCAGTTCCGTGTCGCCTCGTCCGGTCCGAACCGGTCCATTCCAATCTTGCCCGTTTCTGTCCGGGCGCATTCACGCTCCACCTGCCGCCGTCCCTCCGTCTGGTCCTGTTCCTTCCCAACCGACAACCGACAACCGGTGGTGCCCGAAAGTGACCGATCCAGTCAAATTTGGTTCGGTCTTTTCCGGGCCCGTTTCGTCCCATCCAGTCCGTCTCGGCCGTCCTGTGCCATCCGATGCTGTCTGGTCTCGTTATGTTCCATCCGATTCCATCAGTTCTCGTCCGATCACGTCCGGTCACGTTCGGTTGCGTTTGGTTCTGTCGGATTCCGTCTGGTTACGTTCCGTGCCGTCCAGTGCCGCTTTGTCCGAGCAGAACTATCTAAACGTTGGTAGTTTTATGTTTTTTGACGTCACCAAACAAACAGCTAAACAATTTTGTGATCTTCGCACACTGGGTCATGAATTCGGAGCGACGTCAGTGTGTGTGGCGGGTGTAGAGTAAAACTCTATTTGCTCGCGTTGATGGTTGGTATAGAGCTAAATGAAGGCGAGGGAGGTATAACAAAATAAGCTGAGCAGGTGCTGATAATAATATTGCATGGGCTTCATGTCAGATTCAGCTCATTCAGACCAATTTAGAAAGTGCGAGGGCTACGCCGGTGGGAGGGACCAAACGGCAGACCAAAGCTGTTGACAGCCCATGCTCCGAACCTATGGCACCGGTCGGCATGAAACCTTCGCCATTCGATGCCTCTTGATCGTTTAACTATTCGCTCTGAAACACGGTGAACGAGGATCAGGTCAAAGGTCACCAAAGGTTAACAAAAAACGGAGAAATGGGATTTGCAGATGATCCCTTGCTCCCAACCTACGGAACTGATCTGCACAAAAACTTTACCAATCGATGCGCTTTAGTCGATAGCCCATTCTGTAAAAACATGGTGCCTTTAGTTATGCCCAAGGTCACCAAAAACGCCCAAAAACCACCCCAATTGGCTGGAGACAACGCTATGCTTCGAGTTTATGGGTCAGATCGGCATAAAATCCCTACCAATCGATGCGCCATAGTCGATACCTTATTGTTTCCGGAACGTGGTGGCCTTGTGTTAGGTCAAATGCCACCAAAAAACGTCAAGCACGACCAAAAATTGCATGCAGACAACCCCATGCTCCGAGCCAAAGGCGCTGATCAGTATCAAGCCTTCATCGATCAGTACGGCTAAGCCGATATCCTATCCTTTCCAGAACATGGTGATCTGGGGTTGGGTTGAAGGCGCCAAAAACAGCCCAAACCACCTGAAATTGGCTTGCAGGCAACCCCATGCTCCGAGCATATGTGACCAATTAGCACCAAACCCTTACCAACCGGTGTACCATAGTCACTAACCTACCCTTTACAGAACATGAAAGCATTGTCTGAGATCAAAGGTCAAAAGATAGTATGTCGACCATGGCGCACCAATTGGTGATGGTTTCATGCTGACTGGTCCCAAAGGCTCGGAGCATGGGGTTGTCTGCAATTCTATGCTTCGGTTTTTTGTCTTTTGGTGACCTTTGATCTGACCCAAGGTCACCATTGTATGCAAATTATAGGATATCGGCTGTGGCTCATCGATCGGTGATCGTTTAATGCTGATGGGTGTCATCAGTATAAAGCTCGGAAAATTGGGTTGTCTGCAGCCAATTTTGGTAGTTTTGGTGGTTTGGGTGACCTTTCATCAACTTAAGGTCACCATGTGCTGAAAAGGATGGGATATCGGCTATGGCGCATCGATCGGTGAAGGTCTTACCCCAATGGGTCCCATAGCCTCGGAGTATGTGGTTATCTGTAACTTTATTTTCCCTGTTTTGGGTATTTTTGGCGGCCTGTGACCTGACCAAAGGAAATGTTCTGAAAAGAACCGGACATCGACTATGGCGCATCGATTGGTAAGGGTTTTATGCCGACCGATCCCATAAGTTTGGAGCATCGTGTTGTCTTCAAACCTATTTTCCCGTTTTTTACGACCTTCAAACTGACCCAAGACGACCATGTCTCGGAAAGTATAGGTTCTCGGCCACGCGGCATCAATTGTAAAGGTTTAATGTCGGTTGGTGCCATAGGCTCGGAGCATGGGGAGTCGTGTGCATCATGTGTGGAACAAAGATTCCAGGCACCTCAATGCACCCCTGCATGGTTACAGTTTTTATTTTTACTGAATGCACCATGCGTCATGGTGCATAAGCCTGCTCCCTTTCAAGTCAAGCCTAACAAAATGTCCTCCAAAGTTCAAAGACTAAAAAAATGTATTTGGAATGTTGTCTGTGGACAGAGGCCCATTCGGCGATTCACCTTTTTATAGTTTGCATGCTTGAAGACCATAAAATAAGTGTTCAGAAGTCCGGAGCGTGAAGTTGTGACCTGACCATCCTATCCGTAATTTGAACGTGGGCCGTCTACTTTTCTGTTCAGATTAAATCAAGAGGGTAGATCACACTTAACGGGTCTCAACAGATGCGTCAGACACTCAAGAGTACTTATGCACGTTGGTTTATCTATCTGGGCCCATACACTGCTAATAAAACCCGATCTCGATTCCACCATACACGCGATGCACCGCCTAGTTTTCGTGACATCTACCGACTGGACCAGCAACTACAGCTTCCGTACCTGGTCGTGGCGTCCGCAGGTGTTCGCTGCGGTGAACACACGCGACCACCGGCCGGCCTTGTCAGTACTGTCCACTGCGACCGTGTGGGACGTGGTGGGCTCCAGGCGGGTTCCTGATCCAAAAGCTGGTCTGACGGTCTCAGGTGAGAACCAATCACCCATGCGGAGTACGGCGCTGATCGGGACGGTCCACTCTGGAATACAGGAGTGGCAGGCTTCAGAAGCAGCACGCTTGGTGGCTGGACTGTTAGATCCGTTCTTTTTTGTGGAATCAGAGATGAATGATTTGGTTCCCATCGTTAGAATAATTACCACTGCAGCGCCAGGCCTGAAGGCGGTGGGCGGATTCCTGGGCAGCTACGTGGTGCAAAACAGCTTTCGTTTTGCTCACGTCAAGGTTGTATAAGATCGGCCCCTGGTGAGTCAGATTCGCTATCAGCGCTGGTGAGCGACCCTGCATAGACGTCACCGTCAGCCAGAAGACGTCGCCGTCAGGCGCGTGATTTACTGCCCTCTTGCGTGTAAGCGTGTATTGCCCTTGGCTGAGACCGGCGTGTTTACATTTACGGAGGCGGCGTGATAGATAGAGGGCGACGAGGGCTTCGTAAATCATACAAAATGTATCACGAATATTGGCGACAGTG